TTTAGGCTACACTTACTCAATTCCTGTAATCTTCCTTATATATTTTAGTCTCCAGCCCTCCTAATCATACTTGTGACTTTCTAGAGTCTCTTTTTTTGTATGGGGCAACCGAAACTCGACACAGTATTCCAACTTACCAGTTTGGTATAAAGCGGTGCTAATCTGTCCAATGGTTGCTGGTACTGAGTTTGTCTAATTTGATGAACAGAAGGTGACATGATAGTAGTCTATCAATATCTCAGGGGCTGCCACAAAGAAGAGGGAGTCAAGCTATTCTCCAAAGCACCTGAGGGCAGGACAAGAAGCAACGGGTGGAAACTAACCAAGGAGAGAAGCAACCTAGAACTAAGGAGAAATTTCTTGACAGTGAGAGCAATTAATTAGTGGAACTGATAGACTCCAGAAGTTGTAAATGCTCCAACACTAGAAGTTTTTAAGAAGAGATTGGACAATCATTGGTCTGAAATGGTACAGGGGTTTCCTACCTAAGCAAGGGGTTGGACTAGAAGACCTCCAAGAACCCTTCCACCCCTATGTTTCTATGAATCCTCAAGACAAAGGCAGAGCAGAAAGGTATAAAAAAGACTCCAGAGAGTCCTCTGTAGATTTATTGCATTCTCATTTGATCATTAGCTTTTCATGAAGACATTTTAAGTTAAATTTCTCTTTATCTTCTGGTGCAAGCATACCAAGAATTGGAGAAGGGTAGGAGAAATTTTGCTTCTATGGCCTTCTCTTATACGGGTAATCCTCAACTTACAACCAAATTTCCTTTGCTAAGCAAGACAGTTGTTGAGTGAGTTTTGTCCCGTGTGACGACCTTTCTCGCCATGGTTGTTAAGTGAATCACTGCAGGGTTTTTTAGCCAACCTGGTTTCCATTGTTTCTCAGAAGGTCACAAAAGGGGAATCACATTTACCCTGGGACACTGCAACCGTCATTAAAGGCATGGCCTCTGCCAAGCATCCAAAGTTTGATTGCATTGCTTTGAGGAAGCTGCGTAAGTGTAAAAACCGCTCATTTTTTCCCCCAGCGCTGCTGTAACTTTGAATGGTCATTAAACAAATGACTGTAAGTCAAGGACTACTTGCGTGGTGTGGAAAAACAGGAAGGTCACTCCCACAATGCCTTCTTAAAGTGCCCTTGCACAAGACAAACACACGATGAACAGTTGCAGGAACTGGGCCTGGCTTGTCTAGTGAAGAGAAGGACCAGGGGAGACATGACAGCAGTCTTCCAATATTTGAGGGGCTGCCACAGAGAGGAAGGGGGTCAGGCTATTTTCTAAAGCTCCTGTAGGCCAGACAAGGAACAATAGATGGAAACTGAACAAGGAGAGGTTTAATCTGGAAACAAGGAGAAACTTTCTGACAGGGAGAACAATCAGCCCATGGAACAGAAGTCGCCTTTGGAAGTTGTGGTAGCTTCATCCCTGGAAACCTTCAAGAAGAGACTGGACTGCCATAGGTCAGAAATGGGGTAGGGTCTGCTGCTTGGGTGGGGGGTTGGACTAGATGACCTACAAGGAGGTGCTTTCCAACTCTGTTAAATCTGTATTATAATATGTATCTTAATCCTCCTTAAACTGATTGCAGGTCAGATTAAGGCCAGTTGTTGCCCCAAATACAAGCCAACAATGGTGCTCTTGGGCTCTTCCATTGCTCAACTGATAAGGCTTAAGACACAACAAGTGTTGTTCACGGACCTCGAGTGTGTCAATGAAAGAGTTAAGGGCATGATAGCAACTCTTCCTTTGGTGACCTAAACACAGTGTTTGTTTTCCCTAATGGTTAATCCATGGCTGATCTATAGGCTCACACGCTGATTACCACCACACAACACACTTTTGTTGTTTGCTTAAATGGCCCCTTTCTCTAGCTTTTGAGTCAGACCTTCCTCATCCCGACCAAACACCTGGATTTGTGTAATCTCACAAACCATACAAAAAAAACAACAACCACCCAACTTAAAACTAAACACGCCCTGCAGATATTTGGCCAATCGGGACTGCCGGATTTGCAGCTGACCAGTTTGGTTCCTATGGCTTGAAAAACAACATTTTTCTCTGTGGCGATTTTGAAGGAATAAAACCCCAGAGGGAAGGGATGAAAACAGCCAAGAATGTTTTGCACTCATGGCTTCTCTACGTATTCAGCAGGTTCTGACCAGTTCTGGAGAACCGGTAGTGGAAATTTTGAGTAGTTTGGAGAACCGGCAAATCCCACCTCTGACTGGCCCCACCAACCCCATCTCTTCTCTGCCTCCAGAGTCCCAGCTAATCAGCTGGGTCTCCTTTGGTTGCCCTGCACAGGAGAATGGAGCTGGAAAGCAGGTTAGTGGGGCGGGAAGGGAATGAGATTTTGCAGTAACCTTCCCCTGCCATGCCCACCAAGTCAAGCCCACCACTGGGTGGAGAACCATCTGTTTAGGAACCTTTTGAAGTTACGGTGGCCCTGAAAAAAGCCACAACCAGTCCTTGCACTTATGAGGCTTACAACATCCCTACAGTCAAAATTCAAATACAAGTAGTCCTCAACTTACCACAGTTCATTTAGTGACTATGCAAAGTTGTAACCGCACTAAAAGATGACTTTTGACCGCTTTTCATCGTTATCACTTTTGCATCATCATCCCCCCCATAAAACCCCGTGATCAAAATTCAGATGCTTGGCAACTGGTTCATACTTATGACGGTTGCAGCATCTCTGGGGGGGGGGGTCATGTGAACCCCTTTTGCGACCTTCTGTCAAGCAAAGTCAACGGGGAAAAGCCAGATTCCACTTAACAACCAGGTGACTAACTTTACAAGCTTCACTTATCAATTCTGGGAGTTGACATCCACAGGCCTTAAAGTTGACAGGATTTGGAAAACCCGCAGCCATTCAGATGACCTTTGCTGGTAGATGTCTAGGGAGATTTTCTCAGTCATCCAGGTCACAGTTGTCCCAAAGGGGCTTTTTCAAGAGGCCACTGGACTTTCTGGTTTTTCTTTGAAGACATTTCGCTTCTCATCCAAGAAGCTTCATCAGCTCTGACTGGATGGTGGGGAATGGAAGGATTTATATTCCTTGCAGACAGCTGGTCATTTGCATCCTTTTAGAGGGTCATTGAGGCCACTTGGAAATTTATCTCTGTCCTCAGGGTCACCTGAGTGGTGCTCCTGGTTCCTGCAGTCTTCAGTTTTCATTCCTACTCCCACACCATGCAAAGGGTATTCATCCCAAATTGTACAGCTAAAAGTCTGTGGAGATTCTCAGTCACCCAGATCATGGCTGTCTCAAAGGTGCTTTTTTTCAAGGGGCAATTGGACTTCCTTGTGTTTTTTTTTTTCCTTTGAAGATGTTTCACTTCTCATCCAAGAAGCTTCTTCAGCTCTGAGTGGAGGAATGGAAGGATTTATATTCCTTGCAAACAGCTGGTCATTTGCAAGGAGTCTGCAAGGAATATAAATCCTTCCATTTATCCACCATCCTGTCAGAGCTGGAGAAGCTTCTTGGATGAGAAGCAAAAAATTTTTTTTTAATTTTAAATTGATTTGTCAATCTCTTACAAGATAATAGGTATAAGAATAAACATAGTTATGAATACATGAAATGGATACATATAAGAAAAATAAAAAAATATATAAAAGAAACAATAGGACAGGGAGGGTAGGCACGTTGGTGCGCTTATGCACGCCCCCTACAGACCTCTTATGAAAGGAGTGAGGTTAATAATAGACAGTCTAAGGTTAAAGTTTTGGGGGTTTGGGAAAGAAATTACAGAGTCAGGTAGAGTATTCCAGACATTGACCACTCTGTTGCTGAAGTCGTATTTCCTGCAATCAAGTTTGGTGCGGTTTACCTTGAGTTTGTGTCTATTGTGTGTTCTTGTGTTGTTATGGTTGAAGCTGAAATATTCATTGACAGGTAGGACATTGCAATGTATTTCATATACTGTACTTAGATCGGACCGAAGGCAGCATAGTTGTAGGTTTTCTAGGTCTAGAATTTCGAGTCTGGTAGCATAAGGTATTCTGCAATGAGTAGAGGAGTGGAGAACTCTTCTTGGGAAATATTTCTGGACTTTCTCAACTGTGTTAATATCGGATACATAATGTGGGTTCCAGACTGATGAGCTGTATTCGAGTATTGGTCTAGCAAATATTTTGTATGCTCTAGTTAGTAGTGTAATATTACCAGAGAAAAAGCTACGTAAGATTAGGTTAACAACTCTTAACGCCTTTTTGGCTATGTAGTTACAGTGGGCTCTAGCACTTAGGTCATTAGAGAGGAGTACTCCAAGATCCTTGACAGAGTTTGGATCATCAACAAGGTCTTGGCTATTCAGCCTGTATTTTATTTTCTGATTTGTTTTTTTGCCAACATGTAAGACAGAGCATTTATTTGTTGAGATTTGAAGTTGCCATTTGTTTGACCATTCCGATGCATAGTCAAGATCTTTTTGAAGGGTAGCAGTACTGTCTGTGGTGTTGAATAGCTTTACATCATCAGCGAAGAGAAAATGTCTTCAAAGAAAAAGAAAAAAACACCAAAAAGTCTAGTTGGTCCTTGGGGGAAAAAAAAGCACCTTTGGGACTTTTTTGATAGAGATTGGGGTTTGGGGGGGGGGCGCTATCCGAAGCACCTGTTCAGAAATAATTACGCCTCCCCCAGCCACCCCTTTCCTCTCGCCTTCTGGACCCAACAGCCTCCCCCCTCCCCAAATCCGGCCCGAAACAGAACCGGCACCGCTCCCTCTCAAACCCTCCACGGACCGACCGGTAGACGGACCAGGGTTCCCTCCCCTTTTCCCTCACCCGCTACCGACACTCTCGCCACACCAGAAAGGCGGACGCGGCCTGGCTCCTCCTTCTCCACCCCCCCCCCTCCTCCTCCTCCTGCCGGGGCCCCGTGACGCCCTTCGGCCTCGCTAACCCGAGGGCTGGCGGGGTGGGAAATGGGATCCGGGAGGAGGGGACGAGGGAAAAGGGGGACGGGCTCGCTGCGCCCAGCCGCGGCTTTAAACCTCGCACGGGGAAGGCTTTCGCCGCCCCGGACGACGCTTTCCAATCCACGCCGCCGGCGGCACCGCTTTCGCCGGAGGGGTAAAGCAGCTCGGGGTGGTGGTGGAAACCAAAAGGGGGGCTGGCCCCGCCGAACCTCGCACGTACGAACGCCCACCCACCCACCCCGCCGGGGGTCAAAGCCGGAGCGTTCCCCCTCGCCAAAGACGCGAGCCCGTCAGCCGGTCAAGCGAGCCCGCCCGCCCGCCTTCGCTGCGCTTTGGCCGAGCTCGGCCGCGCTCGCTTGAGGAGGGTCTCCCCGCCTAAAACCTCCCGGCCCCGCCACAGCCGGTCAAGGGGGGTCGCGTGAGAAGGAGGAGGAGGAGGAGGAGGAGAGTCGTCTTCGGAGAAGCCGCCGACGCCGACGCGCTCTTTCCTCAGCCCGCCCGGATTTCCGAAAAGTTGCCAAGAAGCGAGAGCGGCAAAAAGAGTCGCCAAGAGCCCGGCAGGAGGCGAGCTCTCGCCGGCTTCGGCCCACAGAGCTTCGGCTTCCCCGGCTCCGCTTGCCTCGTGCGGACCCTCCTCGGCCGTCTCGGTTTTTCGCCTCTGCCGCCGCTCCGAGCAGCCGCCAAGCTGGACGACCGGCGGAAAGGCGAGCCCAGGAGGTGAGGCTTTGGTTTGTTTTTGGGTGGGTGGGTGGGGGGAGGCGGGCCGGGGGACAGATGAGGGGTTGTAGCCGGGCGCTTGGGGCTTTCTCTCCTTGACCCGTCCGAGGTCGACGCTCGCCGGCTGGAGCCCGTGTGTGTGTGTGTGTGTGTGTGTGTGTGTGTGTGTGTGTGTGAGAGAGAGAGAGAGAGAGAGAGAGAGAGAGAGAGAGAACCCGAGCTGACCCGGCTTGCCTAAAAAAAAAAAACGTGTCGTGTGAAGGCGGCCAAAGCGGGCACTTTCTCTGCAGCCGCAGCCCGCCGCGTCTTCATTCCCCCCCCTCTTTCTTTCTCGCGCGGGGCTTCTAGGGTCTCCTGTTTCGAGGCCCGGCTGCTTTGCTTCCTCCCGACAACCCTGCGAGGTAGGGAAATGAAGAGGAATCAGAATCGAGCTGGAAAGGGACCTTGGAGGTCTTCTAGTCCAGCCCCCCGCCCCGCCAAGCAGGAGACCCTAGACAGTTTCAGAGGCTACAGTAGGACAACTGCCAAACCCCAAGCAGTTACCAGATGGTAGCCTAGGGTAAGATCATTAGCTGCCATCTAATGATGGCTTGCAACCCAGTTCCAATAGCTCTGAATGAATCAATCAATCAATCAGAAAGAGAATAGAGCTGGAAGGGACCTTGGAGGTCATCTAGTCTAGCCCCTTGCTCAAGCAGGAGAACCTACACCATTTCAGACAAGTGACTGTCCAGTCACTTCTTCAAAACCTTCCAGGGGATGAAGCACCCACAACTTCTGGAGGCAAAGCTGTTCCACTGGTTGATTGTCCTCCCTGTGAGGAAGTTTCTCCTTAATTCCAGTTTCTCCTTAATTCCAGGTTGCTTCTCTCCTTGATTAGTTTCCATCCATCGTTCCTTGTCTTGCCTTCCCTTCCGGTGCTTTGGAAAATAAGTTGACCCCCTTCTTCTTTGGGGCAGCCCCTCAAATACTGGAACAGTGTTATCCATTCACCCCTAGTCCTTTTTTCTCTCTCTCTAGACTAGCCAAATTCAAATCCTGCAACTGTTCTTTATATGTTTTTGTCTCCAGGCCTTGAATCATCTTAGTTGCTCTTCTTTGCATTTTTCTCCAAAGTCTCAACGTCTCTTTTTGTAATAAAGTAGTGACCAAAAATGGATGCAGCGTTCCAGGTGCCGGCAGATGCCGAATTGGGGTTTCCCCCACACACAACTGTTGTTTGAACCTCTGCAGAGTGTGCCCACTGGCTGCTTTCACATGGTACTTTCATCCAAGTCGGGTCAAGATCTGGCAGCTCTGTTTGCAGAGCTTGCTCCTCTCAGTTGGCCGTTGACCTCAGTTGGGTGTCATGCTGGGTGGTTTAGGGTTAAGGTGTGGGTCGTATAGGATGAGAACCTGGAAGTCAGACTGGTTAATCATCAGGTTTTAAGTTGGTTGTAGGAAGGCAGCCGCTGCTTTTGCATGCTAGGGGTTAGCTGTCCTCGGGCACTTTAGGTAGGCGGTAAGGGGTTGTTGGGAGTTAATTTCCTTCCACCTGGAGGCAAATGGCTTGGAAAGTCATGCTTTCGGCTTTACTTCTTGCTGTGGGTTCTTGTGATGCAAGAACTCTTCAAACACGCTTGGAGAAAGGCGTGGGAAAAGATTACTCTCTCTCTCTCTTTGCAGGGAAAGTTTTGCAGTGTCTTTTAGAGTAAGAAGAAGCTGGGACTGGAAGAAGGGCTACTGCAGGTGTAAGATCAAATTGGTGTGGTGGGAAAAAGTAAATGAGACTGGAACTTGGGAGAGAAGTTGAAATTTCTTCTAACCGGAAGAGATTTAAGCGGTCACTGGGAACAGTGGTATAAGTTGCAAAAAAGCTGACATATTTGGTGCTACTCTTTGGAAAAGATGGGTGGAGGAAATCAGATTGTCATTTGAGTAAGGTATAAGTCATGAGAACAAGAATCTAGAGATGAAAAGCCTTCCTTCCTTCCTTGCCCTTCCTTCCTTCCTTCCTTCCTTCCCCTTCCTTCCTTCCTTCCTTCCTTCCTTCCTTCCTTGCCCTTCCTTCCTTCCTTCCTTCCTTCCTTGCCCTTCCTTCCTTCCCCTCCTGCCTTCCCCTTCCTTGTCCTTCCTTCCTTGCCCTTCCTTCCTTCCTTCCTTCCTTCCTTCCTTCCTTCCTTCCTTCCTTCCTTCCTTCCTTCCTTCCTTCCTTCCTTCCTTCCCCTCCTTCCTTCCTTGCCCCTTCCTTGTTCGTCCTTCCTTGCCCTCCTTCCTTCCTTGCCCTCCTCCCTTCCTTGTCCTTCCTCCCTTCCTTCCTTGCCCTTCCTCTCCCTCCCTTCCTCTCTGCTTCTCTCCCTCCCCTCCTTCCTTCCTTCCTTTCTTCCTTCCTTCCCTCCCTCCCTCCCTCCCACAAACTGAACATTTAAAGGCAGAAATATTTGCTCCATTCTGTTTCTTTTCTCTGGCAAGTCTCCCCGCAATTGTTCCCCCCCCCCATGAGAGATATGCATATTTCGTTTTGTAAGAAAATTACAGCACACATGTGATTTTTTTTTTTTTTGTAGTTAGAAGAATTATCAGTGGAAGTGATCCACCAGGTTGAAAGCAGGAGAAATCACCTTCCCTTGTAAACTTTGATTTGATCGTGAGGTAGAAGAGCCATTAAGGTGCCAATTGGACGGCTTTTATGTGTGCAGCTATGACTGGAGGAATTAATTATACAGCAGCGGGTTATTAATTAGGCTCAAGCATCATGCAAAGTCATGTTTTGATTAATCATACTTTTTGAGTAAGTTGTAAGCTGGTTCACATCATAATGTACCATAATCTAAACTTAGTCATATTTTGGCTTGTTGTGATCTGTGAATCAGGCCATCTTTTGGAAAACGGCACTAAATGATACATATACTTCAGATCTTTCTCTCAACCTGAGGTGTGGATAGAGGCCAAACGTTGACTATGAATAACTAAGGATAAAGCATTTTGGGGGAAAGCTATGCAATTTAGAGTAGGGCCTCAGCCTTGCAGTTACTCCTTTTAATGTACCTGACAAAAGATATATTTGGGAGAAAGACGGAGGAAAAGAAAACATGCTTTGTGTTGCAAGCAAGAAAGAAGAAATTATTTAGAGATTTTGATTACAGGAAGTCCCCAACTTTACAATCATTTGTTTAATGAATGTTCAAAGTTAGAAGGGCACTGAAAAAAAATGACTTTGACCATTTCAGGATCCTGCTTACGTGATCAAAATTCAGGTGCTTGATAACACACTCATATTTATGACAGTTGCAGTGTCCCGGGTGTGTGTGTGTCATGGGATCCCCTTTGGTGATCATCTGACCAGCAAAACCAATGGGGAAGCCAGATTCACTTAACAACCGTATGACAAATTTAACAACTGCAGTGATTCACGTAACTGTGGCAAGAAAGGTCGAAAAATGGGACAAAAACTAACTTAACAACTTAGTAACAGAAATTTTGGGCTCGGTTGTTGTAAGTCAAGGACTAGCTCTACTGCAGATCATCGTGAACAGCTTGGAGGGGTTGTCATGAGGAATCACGATGCATGAGGTTGAGGTACACCCTGGTTGTGTCTAGAATTACTTGAATGGGTCTTTAGAACAGACCCTGTTTTTGCTTTCGACCTTAAACTGGAATTATTGTGTTTTCCTTTTTTATATAAAGCATTTGTCTTAATGTTGTTTGTTTCGGTAAAAAACAAAAATTGGAATGTTCAAAGCTGATTTTTGCCTATAGATCTTAAGGAGATCTTGGGGTTCACCACAAAAAAAGTCAAGTTATGCACTCACAGCTGCTAAGTTGATATTTTTGATATTCCGTGGATACCCCTAACTCTAGGATGGGGTCCCCAAACTGGGCAACTTTAAGACTTGTGGACTTCAGCTATGCTGGCTGAGGAATTCTGGAAGTTGAAGTCCACTAGTCTTAAAGTTGCCAAGTTTGGAGAACTCTGTTCTAGGACACCTTGTGTCTTTCTTTATCCTGCAAAAGAGTGGAATGTAAATGTAATGAGAGATAAATAATTAAGGTCCAAAATCATGACCATTCATGACCGGCTGTACATTGATGGCATCTACCAGTCCAGTATCTGATTTTTTTTCATATAAAAGACGTCACACATCAATGGTTAGATGGCCTAGACATTGGTATTTGAATATAGATTGGTTTAACATTTATATTTGTGTTTTATTAATCTAGGTGAAATGCTAACATATATTGCAAGTTCATACATAATATGCCATATGGCAGTGTTTGTCAACCTTAGCTACTTTAAGACCTGTCCACAGCCGGGAATTCTGGGAATTGAAGTCCACAGGTCTTAAACTAGCCGGAGTGAGCCGAATGCTAAATAAATAAGATTAAATAAATAAATGATAAACAAATAAAGCAGAGGGCGGGGAAAGTCTCAGTGAGCCCCATTATAGGTTCCATTAACAGTCTCACTGCTGGGAACTGGTTTGTTTTGGAAGGTAACACCATTAATGGACACTACTGTGTTTGTAAGAGCCATGGTGGAGCAGTGGTCAGAATGCAGTATTGCAAGCTAGTTCTGCCCGCTACCAGGAGTTCGATTCTCAACGGCTCAAGGTGGACTCAGCCTTCCATCTTTCCGAGGTTGGTAAAATGAGGACCCAGATTGTTGGGGGCAATAGGCTGACTCTGTAAACCTCTTAAAGAGGACTGTAAAGCACTATGAAGCGGTATATAAGTCTAAGTGCTATTGCTAGTGTTGAGCATTGCGAATATTACATGTAAAAGGCACCCCTCTGTCCCCATTCTCGCTTTTTTCTCAAAAACCAGCCTTCCCCAACTGCTGCATCTAACCTGTGCTGTGACTGCAACACTCAAAACTTCCAGCGAGCATATTGACCACGAAGATACTTGGTGAGCGCCGTGTTGGAGAAGGTTACTCTACGTATTTCTTGTACTTCCATTTAATTACAGCTTGATCTGTAGAGGAAGAACGAAAAGAACGTCTCCAGACTCTTATCTCAGTT